AAACAATAAGCAAGTTTTGAACATGATGCTTACTAACACACACAGAAACACATGTACACACATACACGCCCATACTTCCGTCAGGGTTTCACAGCGAAAATTTGCAACATTTGGAACAAGAGGTCGGTAGTACTGCTCGGATGTAACCGTTTAAGAACCAAAAAGGTTGTTCCAGCACCGAATTCCCAGATAGCATCCTATTGTCGCAAATATTTTTCATAGAAGTGCTCAGATTTCATAGACATCATGATGGTGAAAGCCGGAAAGTAGAATTTCAAAAACGAAGAAACAATGAAAATTCCAGCAAAAACCAGAGAAAAGAATCTCGCAAGCCAAAAACATCGCCTTATCTGAGCTGCACTACCAAGAGTACACCAACTCTGAAGACCAGTCAGATTGCAGCAGCAGTAAATAAAACCGTTGCATATAAAAAACAGAAAGGAAAATTACTTTAACTCTGAGATCTGCAATGATCCAGTACCGAGTTGCTTGAAACGTGCCTCATATTCTGGCCCATCCAGATCGATCTGCTCGCCACTTTTCAACCAGCTGATTTGTGGTGTGCTGCGCCCGCTTGCTTTACATGGTAATATTGCCGCAGCGCCAACCATCAGAGTTTGATTGGAATGGCCATGCTCGATGATCGGTGGCGGATGCGATGGTAGAGCTGTAAAACAAATACCAAAAATTTCTTTAACTTCATTCTTCACCTCTCCCCATCCTCCCCTTCCCGGTTCTCACCCCCCTCTTGTCTGTTTTCAGCAGCTGAATATCAGTCTTTTCTTATATTAAAATTACATAAAAATACGTCAGGAAAGGCAAGTTTTAGCACTGATAAAATCTAAATTGCTAGCAAATCAAAAAAAATTTCTGTATTTAAATGATCATTTTTGCCATTTCTACATGATCCTAAAACGCAGAAAAAAGCAATGAAGGAGGATGCGATTACAATTTTGCAGCTAAAAATCTTCTAATCCGTCTTCTGGATCAAACGTAACAAATGCTCTCAACGTATACTTTGCACACAATATGAATTTTTCCATAAAAAAAAACGTTAACCCTGGCTGCACTACCTATGCAGCGACAGTAGATAAGAAGCTTCCTGGACAGCCCATTGCAAAAATGTTTAACTATATTCTTAGATGTAATATAAACTTGTATTCATTCCCGCTCTGCTACGCTTAGTTCACTCGTTCATTAGGTTCTGTACTGGCCCAATCCAGCGATTCTCGTGGAAGGGAGGCGCAATGCGTTGCGGCGAATGCAGTGAAAGAATTTATGAGGTCGAAGAGATCGACCTCATATATCAT